TTGATGCCCATCAGATTCGCAACAAGTTGTTCCAACAAGTCTGATATCGTCTGCACGTAACAAGTTGTTAATAGGGAGTTTACGATCTACGACGCGGCCGCCTCGACGACGCGCTTTCAAAACAAAGAAATTTGGTGTTTCCACAAACAATAGTATTAGTGTGTTTTATCGCCATGCAAACCTACAAAGAACTTACAAAGAAATTTGTCATGCAAGACAAAAACTGTCAAAAATTTGTGGTCCCATGAGTATTGTCAACCGCGTTGTCATTCTCAACACAACGTTAAAAAAGCATTATTACGTCTTTCAGGCAACGCGAAAGCTTAATGCGACACAAGAGGTGTTACTAAAAGTCGAAATTACAGCAAACATTGCATCGCTTTAGCCGAACATAGCATTTTGTAAGGCTATTTGAAAGAGTCAAATATTTATTACAGTAATCGAATTGCTTAGCGCTCATTATTGAGCTAAAATTTAGACCGCGTCGTTGAGCCGGCCGCGTCGCAGATCGTAAACTCCCTAATAAGTTGATGACAACAAGCTCGTAGCAACTTGTTACGAATAATCTGTATTAGTTTTGTTGGAAGAACTTGTGGCAAGTCTGTTACCATCAGCAACCTTGTAACAAGTTGTTTGCAGACCTGTAACAACTTGCGCGTTTTGCGTGTATAGGTTATCATATCTTATCGAAGGAACTAGACTCAGTTCCGAAATATCACCACTCGAACCGACTTGACCGCGTAGCTCAGTTGGTAGAGCATTGGACTAGTATCCCAAAGGTAGCGGGTTCGATTCCCACCGTGGTCAGGCAAACTTTTCAGCTTGCCCGGTGTGGATGCACACTCAGAGTGACACCACAAACATCGTATTCAGCCACCATTCAAAAGCTTTCAGAAATTACTGGGGTGGGGTGGGGGAGGCTGTCCCCTTTGCTTTCTGTTCTGTGTGTGATAACCAAACCAAGAACTCTGATCAGGAGTTATAATTCACCTTGCCAAATGCAGTTGAACCAGCAGTAATATGAGAAAAGCCAAACTGTTGTTGAGAAGCAAGAATCAAAGGCGCCATAACCTCTAAAGCAAGTGTTGAGAAAGGATTCAGTGAAAGTAACAGATTTAGGTTACATTAGGGACTAGACTATGCTAGAATCTCATGTTCATCAAGGGATGGTATAAGTTCTGTGTTGTGACAGTGCGCCAGGGAAAGTTCTGGGACCGGTTGTATAAAAAAGTGATTAAAGTTAACTATGGTTAAGTGCAAACGTCATCCAATAAGAAGCGCCTATTTGAGAGTTAATCACTATTTAACTACAAAATAGTGATTAAAAAAGTGATTAAGAGTTTTATACAACCGGCCCCTGATGCTAAATGGGATAGCATACCTGCAAGAAATCCTCCGTAAGCATCATTTTCAGCAACAAGTATTTTATTGACACCTCCAACCTTGCTTAATTCTTCCACAGCCTGCAAAGCATCCATGCAATGAGATACAGCAATATCCTAGCATACTCAAATTTGTTTTTAATCAATAGTGAATCTGATGAACAGTTTTGTTATAATATTGCTTCGTCCAGGAAAAGTGCTAATTAGTTATATTGACAAATGAAAGAAGTTTTAAATGCATGAGAATGGAGTAAAGATAATAGATTATTCCAGCTGTCGACTATTTCTTTTTTTTTATCTAGACAAGAAAGACGAAATATATCATTATAGCTCAAAAGAGCATCCTAAAATTAGTAAAATTGCAAAGTCTGTTTGCGAAATGTTGTAAAATGTGAGTATTTTAGTATTACACGCGGTAAAAATAACCATTTTTGAGCCGAAAGTGGTTATTTTTAGCGCGCGCAATACTAAAATACTCAAAATTTGCTAATTTCACAGGGCTATAGTTTCTGTGTTCTACAACATTTCGCAACCAAACTTTGAAATTTTACTAATTTTAGGATGCTCTTTTGCACTATAATGATATATTTCGTCTTTCT